GGAGTTCAGACGTGTGCTCTTCCGATCTCTTTTCAATTACTTTTTTTTATTAACTTAACTTTTAACTCAATTAATTTTATTATGGACTAACTTGTATCTTAATTAAGTTAAATTTTTAGACTGTTAACTTTAACTTAACTTAGTTTAAAAAAAATATTAACTTACCCAACCTTGACAAAATTAAATCTTTGCATTATGGATTTAATCATTACAAAAAACGAACTCCAATAAAAATGGACAGTATAGTGGAAAGAGTGCATACCTATACCGTAGGACGTTACTCAGTACCAAATACGTAAATACGACACACTCGGATCCACGCTTATTTTTAGAAAATTGAACTGATGAAATAATTTCTACATTTCAGTGTGTTTAAATTAAAATTGTAATGTATTTAAATTATGTAGCTGGATGTCTATAATATACAAAATATTTAAATTCATAATGCAAACATATATGTGCAGATACGGGCACGTTCTTGCTGTGAACGGAGTACACACATTACTATTGATAAAGAGTATAGTCCACTATTACGGACTACATTTCATATAATGAAGACTACTAATTGTAAGACCAGTAGTCTCAAATCATAAGCTCATTATTGACGAGACAGTAGTTTTTGGTATTTGATTGAAAAGTTGTAATAATTTCGCTACTAAATTCACAAAAACTGTAACTAAATCTTTATTAAATGTTAGTTTAGTTTTAAGATATTACTGTCAATGCATATATAATTAGAACAAATAATGAAAGCCGTAAATTCTGTGACGTATTAATTTAATTATCTCTATCAATCTTATTTACAATTATAAATAAGGTTTTGTGAATTTAATAGTGAAAGCTTTTTCATAACAAATCATTAAAAACTTTGACAAATGGTACTAATAATAATTGCAATTGATATTGGAATACAATTATATAATTGGATAATTTTATAGCGTAGAATAGTTTAAGGAGAGAAATAAGGCAGAAAAGCATTCTTAAAAATAATAAATACTATTTTCATTTTTAAAAGCAGATACAAATAAAAATTATAAATGTTTATTTGCAAAAAGAATACAATTACAGTCAGAAGCAACAATTAGTCATTTTGGCTGTTTTTTTGCACAATCAAAATATTAATGTTAATTTTTAATTAAAATTCGGATTCACCATGCAAACTTATGTTAAAAAACAAAATGATTATTATACTTCATTTACAATAGTCGAGATCTGAAGTTTTGACTATATAAATATGGACTGCTAGTCTACTGCTAGTCCCCCCAGGCCCCCACTTTTACTATGTAAAAGACATATACCCGGTGTCGCCGAGCTGAAGTTGGTTGAGATATCGAACTTCGATTGTTAGGCTCCACCCTAGTCAATAAAAAAATGTCAAATATGTCAAAATGTATTAAATGCTATGTTGAAAATTGATAGGAAGCCGGAAAAAATTTCAAATCAATGGAAAGAAATTAAAAACAGACTCAGCACCTTTCCTTTACAAGTCGTAAACACGCTGATTTCACAGGAACCTTCCCTCTCCCCGCAGAAAATTACTGACTGGGGCAGAGATTACATCTTCCAGCTTGGCGACACGTATGAAATTAATTACTATCAGCCCATACTTATAGAATCAAAGATCTGAATAAGGAAATAATAAAAATTCTCTTTTTCTATTTAAGTAATTGATGAAATCAAGAAGTTTTAACTTAAATTTTATTATCTTACAATTCGTTGAGGACAATTTTAGACAGGAGGGTGGTCAAGTTAACGTAATGACTTATATAATATTTCACTATAATATATTTTGATCAATCTTTTCTTCACGATTGCAATAACAGAAAATGCTGTAATTTTATTATGATCAATAATCCTTCGTAGTTGCATGAATGGAAAAAAGCATTAAGCAATTTATAATCGAACAAAATTATACCTTTATAATAAATGCTTTCTACAGGAAAAATGATACGATATAACAACAATATTGTTTATATAACATTGACAATAACTGTGTATTGTATCATAAATGAATACTATAATATAATGCAACCTTATGAAAAAGAAGACAATCTATACCAATCGATTTACATTACAGATTGAATTATCGCACGCAATATAAGTTACTTGAGATATGAACTATTGCATGGCACATTCGCTAAAAAGAAAAGTTTCCATTTATTATTATATAGTTTCCTTTATTTATTATTTTATGTCAGTATTTAAATGCCCGCATTTTAGCTCTTGCGCCAATATAAACCATATTCAATAATTTATTATACAACCGATCATCACCGGAATAATTATTAACATACGAGTTTTAATTCGTCGAAATATACGAAAAATGCCTATAATTCTTGTCCTGTAATTTACTGATACGCAGCATCGTCCTCATTCACTCAATTATTCTTTACAATTTACAAATATAATTTGATACATCTTTGAGAAATACATTCGTACTCCATACATACACCGTTTTGCTCGTTTAAGAATATTTTTTCCTAATAAATCTGGAAACAAGTTAAAAACTTAAACAGTTAAAAATTTAAACAATATCAATAATAATAGCTACATTAATGATTAATAATAATTGAATTTATCGTAAGTGATAATGTCACTTAAAATATATAATGGTACAAAATATTTAATGTACAACAAAGTTCTTATCGCGCTATTTTACGCTGCTTATAACTATTGGAAAGAATATTTTAAAAATCGATCTTAATACATAACCGTTTCAAATATATTTTTCTTTCGTCTTAATTCAAACAAAACTAAATGTCGATTTTTCAAAATCTATTTTGTGAATAGAAATTGTGTTTTAGAAAAATGATTACGCGGTTTTCTAAAACAGAATATTTTGTTTTTGATTGCAAATTATTTCGATATGTATTTCTTGTATAAAAAGAAACTATTGATAATATTTTTTTGATAAATTATTCTTGTGTTACATTACTCTTACATTTATTTTTCTCAGAGTTTTCGCTCGTTTTAAAATAAATAACTTTGACTGGAAGTAGAAGAAGATATTTCTTACATGTCGCGCGTAATGTTTTAAATTGTTGATAGATATACTGAAAAAAATAAATTCTTGGTATTCTATAAAAAATACAGAATAGTAATAAAACATAAAAAAACCATAGAAACAATAACAATCTTTTCTTTCAAAATACGTTTTGCAATATAAAATATTCGAATTTATATATAAATTGCTCTAACACGGAAGAATTTGCATACATATATTGTTATGTTGCACTGGAAGAAAGATGTACTGAATATATCATTATATGAAATATGACACATTAAAAACATATCAAGTAATATAAAGTAGATATTTTTATAAATATATCAAATTTTGTAAAATTTGTAAAAAAATTTCAAAACTACTTGTTGTAAAGTCTTGTTTTATAACAATTGGGGCGCAAACTTAAAAAGCCATGGTACACTGGCAACTCAATCGTGCCACTAAGTAAAGTCGCCAATATGCATAATTCAGTAGCTGTACTGAATAGCGCTATCGAACAGCAGATATAAATTATTTTATAGTGCCACAAATTTATTTACAATATGGATTTTCTAACGAAGAAACGTTTTTATGGCATTGCTATTTAGTAGAACTATTGAATCACATTGGCGATTCTGTCTCATCACTTAACGGCACGACTTAAGCTAATGGCATAAAAAAACATGTAGAAAACATAAACAATAAGATATGAGCAATAAGAGAACTATTCAATCACAGTAATGGGAACTGACACAGGAGCGGAAGGAGGAATCTATTCGATATGACGTCATAACTCCGTAAGTATATGCTAAAATACGTGGTGATTTATTGAAAAATCTCAAAATGTTAATAACAATTGCAGGGTTTAGGACAGTTTATTTTTCTGCCACCAGATGTCATGGTGAATATGTCAGTTCCCAAAAGAATGTAAGGCAAGCAGTAGCAAGTCAAATATGTTGATTTGCTACTGCTTATTGCTTTACGTTTTTTACCGTGCAAATCAAACATGATTTGCTTACTGCTTACATTTTTTATATGGCCTTAATTGCTCATGTATAGTTCATAGTTTTACTGTAGCACCAAAGTGTTTTTTGTTTTTGTTTAATTATATACACATATACTATGCAAGACAAAATTTAGATGAATACAAATTCTGTGTGTATGAAGTTATTATAAATAATTATTATAAATTATTTTGTAAAAAAATTTATAAAAAAGTATTTATACAGGGTATCCCGAAATTCGCGAATCAAAATATCATAGCAAGAAAGTCTTCGAAAAATTAAGTAAAAAAGTTATTTGTAAATTTTTATTTTAAGCAATAGTTTTTGAAATATAAAGATTTAAATTTAGCCAATTATAGATTAGTACTCGCGTGAAGTGCGCGATCACTAACACTATCGACGCGTTTACGGACATGTTTCCGTTTAATCGTAATTTATAATTTTTAATAATAATATAATATTGTAGTATAATATATTATATTTAATAATAAATTATAATATTGGCTAAATTTAAACTTTTATATTTTAAAAACTACTGCTTAAATAAAAAATTTACAAATAACTTTTTTACTTAATTTTTCGAAGACTTTCTTGCTATATTTTGCGAATTTATGATAATATGATTCGCGAATTTCGGGACATCCTGTATAATTATGTCATTATTCAAAAAAACAATATAGTGCTACAGATGAATTATAATTTCGATTTAACAAAACGCGATGCAAATACGATACAGAAAATTGTAATGTTTCATGCGTCATATATCACCGTAATATTTCAACATATTTCAGATCTCATTATATATATGTATATATACACAAGATGTACCATTTTAATTTAAACATCCAACAATTTCTGGAAATCGCGAGATTTTATAGAAAAATACTTAAGATAAAAGTTGTATGGGCTTTAAGGAGGACATAAAATTGTATCATTGGTTTAACTTTGGATAATCTTGGACCTTGCCAAAATCAAGGAAAGATGACTTTAAATTTTTTCAATGGACCCCCTTCCTTTTTCATTGCTTATTCTCGTAACTTATCTCGAGAGCTTTCTAAAACACTGTAAGAAAATATGTTATTTTTCCATTAAGCACTTTTCGAGTTCATGAGGCTTGAAAGTTACAATATCGCCGGTATTAGCATTATCCAAGCTGTCCGAACAATGGCTAAAGCCTTTTGAATGTTGTTCAGAATTATGAGCTTGACAACATACGTCAAGGTCATAATCATTGAAGATTGTTGCTCTTTTTTTGAAAAAATAAAAATAAGAGCAACAACCTTTAATGGCCTTGACTTTGACACAAGTTGTCAAGCTCATGATCCTGAACAACATTTATTGCTTAATGGAAAAATATTTTATTACTTATAGTGTTTTGAAAAGCTCTTGAGATAAGCTACGAGAATATGCAATGAAAAATGCGGGGGTCCATTTAAAAAATTTAAAATAATCTTTCCCTGGCCTTGACAACATCAACCCAAGGTCAAACTAATGGTACCATTTTATGTCTCCCTTGAAATCATATAACTTGTCTTAAGTATTATTCTCTAAAATCTCGTGATTTAGAAATTGACTGTTTAAATTAAAATGGGATACCCTGTATATTGAAGCTTATATGTATGATCATAATACAAAGATTAAACTATTCCTTTATATTCACATGTAAATATCAGTTATAATTATTATTACAGTTCTGTTATTATTATTATTATTATTATTATGCTATCATTATGCTATTAATGGCAAATCTCGGATAGAGCTAAACTCCTGTACCAAATATGAATATGTTACATATGCTTGGTGTACTTACACATGTGTGTAGTCTCTCATATTTATCTAACACATGCACACATGATTTTTATAATTATAGTCTCTCGGTTGTATTTTTCGATCGTATCTTATAGTTTCTGTATATACATGTGCGTGCATACGCGTGTGTGTGTGTCTGCTGTGTGTGTATATGTGTGTATGTGTGTGCATTTTGTGTAATTGTGTGTATATGCGCGCGCAAGATCTCTCTTTCTCTCTCTCTCTCTCTCTCACTGTTTGATTGATATCGACATTAGTGTAGAAATATCACACCAATGTGTTATTAAATGTATCACTGAACTGTTAATTGATGCGTTTTGTTTTAAATGTAAACAGCTATTATAATACCACTAAGATGGTTCACTGCTCATCTGCATGTCACTAGATACTACTTGGGGATTATTCTCAGTATTATGTATAGGCACCTGTGAAATATTATCAGCAGTCTTTTTAGACGTAAGTACAATAGGAGCACTTGCTACTGTCTCTGCCCTTTGATACTGCTTGACTGATGACGACAGTGCAGCTTTTGATTTCACTTTTGCTTTAGCCTTAGCTTGCTGCTCCATGCTATCGATTTCAGCCCAAATACTCCTTACTTCTTTGAAGAGCTAAAAAAGAAGTTTTTTGTTTCAAAATATATATTTATTTTTAAAACAGCAACATTATATTATATTACTATAATTTACAATAGTGACAAGTAATAAGATTCTTAAGATTATTGAATATACTTAAGATAATTGAATAATATGAAAATAAACTCACTTGATTCAACCATGCTTCATCTGCTAATAATTCGTTTAATATTATTGTGGTATCCTTATTCGGATCAGCTACCTTTTTATCTGCCACTCTTCTTGCACATTCCAAAAACATTAGATATTTTTGATGAGCGACTTTATTATACAAGGCCACCTTTTTTTGGCAAATACGGCACAACAAAAAGTCCTAGAAGATAAAAATAAGTAAAAATTAATAGAAATTTTATTACAGCAGCTTATCACGTTCCATTTGCGTATCATACTTTTTCATGAGGTATTTTTGGATCAGGTGGCGAGCCTTCTAATGTAGTACCATTATACGGTTGTCCATAAAGTAAAACTCTTGCATAGATTTTTGCTTGCTGACAACCAGCACAGAATTTCCCTTTATATTCTGATGGCGATAAATCCTTAAGCACATTAACACACGGCCATGTTGATATTGCTGTCACGACATTTGCTTTCCACTTAGTTGTAAATAAAAGACGACGTTTTCTTTCTTCTGTTATTTCATCGACAGTCTTAACATTTGATAGAAAATAATCATCTAAGCAATAATAAAGAATATAATTATCATTTCATCATGATGTATAATCTAAAGATAATAATAAAAATTATATTCAATTTCATATCTTACCTTGTTCTTGAAATATTTCAGTAAGAAAATTAGAATCCAAAGCTTGTGAGATTAATGTCTGTATGTATACTTCAAAATTATCTTGATATCTTTCGGTATCTTTCATAAATTTATCTATGTTCTCACTGTAATCAAATAAAAATGTTAAAAATTTACAAAATTTGTTAAGTTGTCGAAATTATTAAGATATAATTTAAATCACAAATTGATTTGACTTAACTGTAGATACAAATTAATAGCTAATAATAATACAAATCTGGTATTCGACTGCGCGCGACTGATCAAATTTTAAAATACAAAAATTGTATATTTTTTATTTTTTCAAATATGTTCTCACTATAATCAAATAAAAATGTTATAAAAATTTGCAAAATTTGCCAAGTTGTCGAAATTATTAAAATATAATTTAAATCACAAATTGATTTGACTTAACTGTAAATACAAATTAATAGCTAATAATAATAAAAATCTGATACTCGGTTGCACGCGACTAATTAAATTTTTAAAATACAAAAATTGTATATTTTTTGTGTTTTCAAATATAAAGGCTGCGTTCGCTTTGGCGCTTATAACGTTACATCATTCTTATTGTTTATCAAATATTAAACAAGGACAAATAATGATCACAAACGCTGTAAGCGCCAAACCAAACGCAGCCAAAAAATTATACTTATATTAGTTATATTTACTATGTCTAGGAAACACAAAACAGAAGATGACATTAACAATGGCCACAAATAAAGGTAATAAACTCAACAGTATGCTTAGCCAAACAAATTCACTAACTAAAGAGATTTCAGTAAAGATCAAAATCAATTTTGGAATACGCAACCAATTATAATTTTTTTGTACTTAAAATTTTAATTAGTTGCATATACAACAGTGCAGACTCGCATTGACTATCGATTTGTTCAAATATATATTTATACAAATATTCACCTGTCATCAATGATCATCTCATCTCTCAAAAATTCCACAATTGTTTCTGTCTTGCCTTGCTGCCAAAATTTCACTGGCACTTGTTGATATATATGACGATTTTGTGAAACCCATGCAGAATACTGTAAAAAAATTTTTTTAATAATAATTACAAAACAGTACTATTCTGTAAACTCTATATAATCTGAAATACTCAATTGAATTTTACCGTAGGTATGTTTCTGTATAAAGTTTTTCCATTGGATTTGAATGGCTGGTATTTTTGGAGCAATGTTTTACCATCTATCCTCCAAAGAGGAGGATCTTCTTCTTCATCCAAGTCTGTTTTGATCACGACAAATTCGCCAGACTAAAAAATAAAGAAAAACATTACTTTCTATTTAATTCAATACTATGTTTTATTACATAAATACATTGCTATAAGCCCAGCAAACGAAAGTAAATTGAAATGGATAGAAATGAATTCATTTCGACATTTTCAAATTGGCGTTTTGATCTTTCGAATCCATTTGAATCCAAAAATAATATAATATAAACATGAATACATCCGAATTCAATATGAATAACTTATTTTGTATTTCAATTTATTTGAATCCAAAAATAATATATGTAATATAAGAATATGAATGCACTTCTGGACTCTAAAGCACCAATTCGGATAAATTAAAATAAATTGAAATGAATTGAATTTTCAATTCATTTGAATTAATTTTCGTTTGCTGGGAGCCTCTTGTATTACACATTTATGCACAAATTTTATTTATTTAGCAAAAATTAAAATGATGTTAAAGATTACCGCGTCTTCTGAGTTGCCTATCAAATGCTGCATGCAAAATATAATAAAATTATTTGTTATTCACAAAGTATACAAGTCTTCACAATATGCTAAAAGATCTTTACAGAATATATTAGATACCTTAAATGGCGAGATATCAATATCTTCATCACTTGCTGCCGCTACTAATTTTTCATCAATTCTGCAAGAAAGCTTGCCGGAATTATTGGAACTTTTTGAGGATATCTCGTGCTTCTTCCTTGTGGATTTTTTTGAGACAATAACTTCCCCGGATGAATAACCATCCTCTTCTAACATCTTCCTAATCTTTTTAGTGATGACGGGCCTCGCGCGTTTTTTCCTTTTCTCTTCTTCATCCCCAACCAATTTTACAGCGGGTGTCCATGCTGGATCAGAATCGGAATCTACCTGTTCCTCATCGTTATCGAAATAATCTATACCCTGTTGTCGATCTAAAAATTGTTTCGCTGATGTTTTCTCTTTTGCCTTTCTCCTCGATGTTTCGCGTCTGGGAGGAAGAAGTAAAGGATCCACTGTGCAAAATAAGATATTTTCAAATGAGTAAAATTTTAACTTAAAAAAGATTTAATATGCTAAATATGTTTGTTACCTTCTTCAATTTTCTTCGAAGATTTCTTTTCTATTTCCGTTGCTGCAGCTGCTGCTGCCGCAGCCGCCGCCGCCGCTGCTGCAGCAGCTCTTCTCTTTCTATCTGTAGGTCCACCAGGTTTGATAGGCCGGCCTTTTTTACCTTTTCCTTCCGGTTTTACAGTAACAACTTCGACATTACTCGTATTATTTACATTCTGCACCTTTTTTTCCGTTTTCTTAGGAGGAAATGGAAAATCATCGTCACTAGTAAATCCATCGTCGCTCGAATCGAAATTTAACTTCTTCCTTTCTTTCGGCAATGGAAAGTACCTAGGATCATTGGCGTAATCTATTGCCGGTGTTTCCTTGACCGATGCCTCCTTCATCAACGCCGGCTTCTCTTGAGATTTAACACTTTCACCGTTAATCGCAGCTTCCGCAGATTTATTCGGCTCAGCAGGTATATACGGCTTTGACCTATTCCACGTTGCTTTCCTACCGCCGCGTATAGCAGGTGGTGGAGAAGGATCCCTTTCACCTTGCAGAAACTTCAAATAACTCGTCATAAATCCCGTATTAGGATCTCTACTGGACCGTTTGAAATCCTTATTTATTTGATTCTGCATCAGCAACTCGTCCTGCTGAAGGAAACCTAATTCCTCCTCGATATTAGGAACGATTACTTTAGGCTGATCGTCTCTGACCTCTTGATTGTAATTGGCGTTTTGATTCGTGTTCTCACTGAATCCTATTGGCGTTATCTCGACCGAGGATTGGAAGTCATGCGAGTGATGAGGATGATGACCCGCGGGAATATGAAAAGCCGGAAAGTATGGAATAGGCGGTGGCGCATGATGGTGCGATACCATCAATGACTGATGTTGGTGAGCCGGGGTGCCCACGAAATTACTCGAGTGGTGCAACGACGACTGAGAACCGAAGGCGCTGGATGCGGTAGGAAACATCTTGGCGGTCGGTGGCGGTAAATTCCATCGTTCGAATTCGAAGTAGCCGTTTTGTTGCTGCTGATTCGCCGCATTGTGATGCGCGGGCGGAGGTATCCTACTGAGGTATTCCGTCATCGTCGTGCCACCTGTAAGTTCATTAGATAATGGCGCACCGTGCCCACTCTTTTCCAAATTTTTCCTCTTTTTATTGACGTTATCGGCCTTTCGCCGTTCCTCGACCTGCTTCTGCTGTTCCGCCGTGGCAACAACTGAGGTAGCAACGGTCGTGTGTTGTTGCAAGCATGGACCCTGCTGCAGCGTTTGTAAATTTTTCACGATGCTCATCGGGTCTCCCCTGCAGCTGCTTAAATCTTGCAGCGGCACTTGATTAGGCTCGAAATACGATTGCTGTCTGTCCGCTGATACATTCATAAGCCTTTGTACTTGCTGTTGAACAGGCAAACTCTGTGCATTCATGTCGCTGGTCGCCGTATTCGCGCCAGTGTAGACGGAAAACTTCCTGTTGCCATTCGTTGCTTGCCGATTGTCACTTTCCCAACAGACCTGTTGCTTTTGCGTTTGCGAGAAGTCTTGCTGTTGCTGCTGCTGCTGTTGCCTATCGTACGTCTTACTCTCTGTGTAAGCCGTTTTATTATTTTCCGTAGTGCCCAGTGCTCGCGTGATCACCGACGAGTAAACTACCTGTCCCTGTGACGCCGGTCTAGGAACAGTGACGTCCAAAGGCGACGGCGGAGCGACTTGTTGAGTGACTCCGCCTTTATATGACGCGCCATTGGTGCACTGACTGCCGTTGGTCTCGTGCTGTTGCAGTGGTGATGGTGACGACATGGTTGCCATCGGACTATTATACATGGGATATGCCGGACTTGGTACGTGACCCAAGGGACTAGCTTGCGAGTGAGTCTGCAGAGGACTTGGTCGTCGTGGGACAACGACATTGCAATCGGGTCCATTTTGCGAAGTATTAGACGAATAAGCAGAATCCGTCGATGTCGCAGACTTGGATCTGCCCGGATGATGATATTCCGTGTCGCTTGTCGAGCCTGTCAAATAATGTCTATAAGTTGTAGTCTGCTGCTGTTGCTGCTGTTGCTGCTGTTGTTGCTGATTCAAAACATGAAATGTTTGTTGTTGCTGTTGCTGCTGAGGATGCGACTGCAAGTTGCTGTTAGATGATGCTCTCTGGTTGTTCGTAAGCTTGCCGTTGGTGTTATTGCAATTAGTGTTATTTGCGGTATAATTCAAATTGCGACTTTCCATGATGGAGAAACTAATCGGGGACGACTGACTGTTATCATGTCCTTGTTGCTCGTTTCGTCTGTGCTCAATTCCGTGGCTCCCCAGGTCCGGATAAATCTTGGTCTGTGCTTTGGTCTGAATATTTTGCTGCGTCACGGCGGTGGCCGCCGCTTTGTTGGGCGGCGATGCAAAATTGCCATTGCGCGTTCCCTGCTTATCCTGAACCACTTGCGTGGAGCTTGACCGCACAGGAGCGCTCAGAAAAATCGTTGTCGACGTGGTCGATCTCGAGGACGGTTGCGGTAATCTGTATTCCTTACCGGAAGGATTGCTCGGCGTCGATACGATACACGATTGCTGATGCTGTAACGATGACTGCACCTTTTCATTTTCAGTGACGGACTGACTTCCATTACTACCGCCCGAGTAACTGTCGGTCAAGGTGTCAGAACTAAACGTTGGAACCTGATGAAAGAATGCTTGACTATTGCTGACTTGTGATGTGGAAATGGTAGATTTGATGCTAGCGGTGGGCGATTGAGATCTTACGCTGATCGGCTTTTTTGCGTCGGTCGGACAGCCGGACGCCTTGAAATCTGCATTGCACGCAGACGGACTGGTTATTTGAGACGCGTTAATGTTGTTTATAGTCTGCGTTGTACTAAAATGAGTGTTAAACGTGTTTTCGTAACCAGTGCCACTAGATTTTGTAGATGGCGGACCCGGGGACGATGGAACAACGCTCTCGTGTGGTAAAATGCCGAACGGGCTAGGAAGTTGCGTATTGTTCTGAGACGTCCAGGCCAGGGTCGATGTCGTAGGTGACGTCGACGTTCCCTGTTGCTCGAAAAATGTAGCTTGATGAGCCGAGCTGTAATTCTCTCTCAACCCAGAGATATCGGATTCAGTTGTGGTGTTCTGTTTCGTCGCCGATACTGCTTGAGCTTGAGCGAGTACCTGCCTATGTTGGGTAACATAATGTGCCTGCTTACTGTTGGGATGAAACAAAGGTGAGAAGACTTCGTAGCCCACGGGGGGTGGAGATAGAAACCCCCCTGGGTTGAAAGGAGACGGCTGTCCCGCCAGAGTTGCTGTCGTGTGAGCCGCCTGCAGGAGTAATTGTGACGTCGTTGTTGACGGCCCCGCCTGTGTGACAGCTGTTGTCAAATGATGAGGTACAAAGTCACCGGTTGTAGTCGATGTTGTTTGAAACGTTCCGGTGGAGCCACCCACGGTTAGACGATTATACGACGTGTACCATGGACCAACGGGATCCATTACCCAAGCTTGGCACTACTGGTGCCTCGCTTGGTATACGTTTAGCAGATTCTCCTGTTTGGCAATGTCCAGTATACACTCTACGATGTTCCCTCTCATAACATAATTTTTATCACAATTTCTTCAAGGTTATTTCCACTATTTTTTTTAACTTATATACTAACACATCGCAAGTAAATGTAGTACAGTCATAAAAAAATTCGTCCGAGCATCGGGATCAACAGCATAGCCAAGACTTCTTCTATTTTCTCTGGAAAAAAAAATAAAGCTGTATATTTGACTACTCCACGATAGATAATTAACAGAGTGCTTATTAAAAGCAAAAAAGAAACAAAATTTGTAATACTTCCAAATTGCGCTATATTCTTTGTATCACAATAATTTTGTTTACGCAATATGTTGCTGCTCCAAAAAAGATATTTAATACAATGCAATTAATACGACGAGAAGATGGAGCAACGCATATTGAGAAGACATACAACATAAATACAGCACTACAATGACAGTAACACTACAACAGTCCCTGTCACTCTCATTAATTAATACAAAGCGATCATATGGCATTCCCATGATCGTGATATCAAGGCACAGCTCCGCGAGCTGATAAAAAAAATTGATTGCGCGAACGAAATAAAAAAGGAGAGAAAAAAAACTTGCGTAGCCGACTTACGTTTTAAGATAATCCGAGACGAGGCACAGTGAAGAAGTGCGCGCTGTAACCTGGTTGATCGCGAGTCTCCGGAGTATCCTGAGGGATTGAGCGAGCGGGCTCGAACGAGCGACGGACCGATCGCGATAACTCACGGGAGTTTACTTGTCCGAGTCTATTCACCGGTAGAGCGTCCCTTGGCGCACCTCGGTGACACGCAGTGTGTCTCCGCTCAGCTACGATCGACGGCGGTGACAATCGGCGGCGCGGGCACTGCACTGCGTCCGACGACGGCGACGACGGCGACGACGGTGCGGCGGGAAACAGCCGCCGCATACTCGGCAGCACGGCGACGGCGACGACGACGACGACGATGACGCTGTCCCCTCGGTGATGGGCGCGCGACGACCATACGGCGGCGGCGGGCCGAATATTGCCGCGGCGGGACGACGCAACGACGCTCGCCGGGCGGCCAACGGAGGACGCGAGGACGTCTCGGCGAGCGGCACCAGCGGGATAAGTACGGCCACGCGTACGAAAGTCCTCGTACGGGGAACGCGCGACACGCGATGCGGGATACACACGGCGGGCTGCACCAGCGGCACCAACGGCGCAGACGGCGGCGGCGGCGACGACGACGGCGGCAGCAGCACCACCACCGGACGGCGAGTCGCGCTCACATGATCCAAGCGTATGTGGCGATCGCAGCGGGAGCGAGAAGCGCGCATTACGAGCTACCGCTTAGCGCACGTCGCAACCACGGCGGCAGTTGGACGTTGACGTTCGCGCGAGATCATTTATTGTCTAGCGACGACGGGCCAAGGCGACATTCGATATATCTGTACACACCGTGCACACGATCATACCGCTGACCGCTGACCATTACTGACCGCCATTTTGCCCGATCAACAATAGACCGTGCCATCTTCCGTCTGCTTCGGGTAAATCTCGGTGGACCCCGCTGTATGCCAGGCGGGATTTTCAAATTGATTGAATATCTTTGAAAGATCGGGAATTACCGACATTTGCATTCTAATGGATATAACTCCGAAACAACTGAACGGATTTAAAAACGCTTTTAAGCCCGTATTAAACTAAAGATTGAGATTGAGATTGTAATGGAATTTGACCAATTAAAACAAAGTTCACTAAATTTGAGATTGGTTTTCTTTCTTTTAATTGGTTAAATCCCAATTTAATCTCAATCTCAATCTTTAGTCTGATACGGGCTTTACAGGATTGAAATAGACATAAAATATCATCGCACTAGGTATAAATTAATAAAAACGAAAAAATATTAAAAAATTACTTTTTTTGGGGTATCATAGCCTGTCAGCTGACGTAAACATTTCATAAGCATATACAAAAGTTTTGCATCTCATATGTATAAAAAAAGTACCTAGCGCGCATCGGATTACTTGCACGAATAATATACAAGACCTTTTGAGCTACGATTGGAAGCGTAGAAAAACAATTATGCCTTAGAATGCAATTTATGGTAATTCGTACGCTCGGCTAAAGACAGCAAAAATTGCATCTGGCAGTAAGTGCCGGATTTTCCAAGAGATGGCACTTTAATAAGTTAGATAAGAACATTCCATGTGTTTAAGTGAGACCAGAAGATATTATTGTAAGAAATTCATTTAGAGATATACCACTGACACTGAAGAGTCTGCTTTATCGACCTAGTACAAATTTGGCCAACCTTTCAACATCCTCTTATAAGGTAATCCTAAAATCATCTGTTTTATCGACCAAATGTGGTTATTTTTTATGACAAAATAAACATAATTAAAGGTAACAGATTTAAAAATTCTTCTTCACGATTAAAGTATAGGCATCAATGTAGTCCAGCTGATAAAGGTTATGCTGAGAACGAACATGGCGTTTAGAGCTGTCAACATGTGTCAATATTTGCTTCGTACAAAAATTTGGCAGTTTGTTGATACAAAATGATACCAGCCGGAACTATAAATTACATGTGCAAACAATGTTGAGTTCATAAAATTAGGTTTGAATGCCTAATAAAAAAGATGTATATTTTTGAAAATTTGTTACGATGTGTGCGTGCGATATCGATATAATAGTAAACATGAACACATCACTACACACTATTACATCAATATCGCATGCATACATACTCACAAATCGTCGATAAAACAGCGACATTTTAAAGTTTGATTCTAGTTTAGGATCGCCTTAAAAGGATCCTAAACCCTAGATCAAACTCCAAAAATCCGCTGTTTTACCGACAATTTGTGAGTATGTATGCGTGCGATATTGATGTAGTGTGTAGTGATGTATTATGTTTATCACCACATCAATATATCTCACGCATACATATACACAAATTTGTTGGTTACCAATATATTTTTATTTAGGCTTCTATACTTAATTCTAACGACTCACATATATTCATTTCTTTATTGTACATCTGGCTCTGTCTTCATTTCGAGCATATAACCTGCCTAACTTTTCCACGTAATAAACGTTTTGATAAATTGACAGCATTAGTCACCATGTTGAAGTTAAGGCGATGCTGGAAGGTAGAAAATACCGACGATTACAGTTTAGTAGATTTCTCCGAATTAGCTGAACGGAATTGAAAATCCTTTCACAGGGTTAAAATAGACATGAAATTGTGGTGTTAGACAGTCGAATTTGTAGTAAAATCGGAAAAAAATTAAAAATTACCTTTTTGGGTCGTACAGCTGACACCTAACCATAACCTAACATAAACATTTCATTAGTGTAAAAGTTCTGTAGTTCATATGTACAAAATGCGTGCGTCTAACACCACAGTATACATGAACGAATAATACAAAGTCTTTTGAGCTACGATTGAAAGCGCAGAAAAAAAGAAATCCACTAAACTGTAATTTGTGGTAATTCGTACGCTCGGCT